GGCGAAGCATCTCATAATGAATGCCATCGGAGCCCACTGCCGTAGAACCGCAGAGGGCCAGGGCAGAACGAAGTTCAGAGAGAGAGAGAAGGGATCGTTATAGGGAAGTCGACGACGAGTGCAAAAATCTAAAAGGACGAGATTCAAGGACAGGCTTACGAAGAAGGAATGATTGGTGAAGATGAAGACCAGAGCTAACAGAAGAAAAGTGGGAACCCAGTTCGGTAGCGACCAGCAACGGATCCGCCACAAGAGTAGCACGGAGGTGAAGGACCGGTGAAACATCAAGAACGAACTTACCCGCTATCTTGCGGATACGCTTCCAGATCTGTGGCAGAAGAGTTTCAGACGTAATGGTGGAGACATAAGATGCCCAACATACACGTTTAGCCGTACGGATGGCCCTACGGGCCACCGCACTCGCCTTCCGAAAGAAAAGAAAAGAATCGGCCGTCTGCTGACGGCGGTGCCCCTTCCAGGCTGCACGCTTACAGCGGACAGCCTGAGCAGTCTGCATTCCACCAGGGAACGCACTTCCGTGGACCTCGAGAGGAAGAGCGAGGAATAGAGCGGAGGGCAGCGTCGAAGACAGAGTCATGAAAAAGGAGAAGAGAGCGAGGGAGAGGCAGAAGGGCGAGGTCAGAGAGAGCAGCACGGAGGGTAAATAGGTTCCAGTCCGCTTTAGCAAACTGCCACCTAGGGAAGGAGAGGGGAGGGTGAGAGAGAAAAAGGTTACAAGGATGGTGAAATGGTCACTGCCATGGAGGTCTTTAAGAACTTGCCACGTGAAATCTAAGTAAAGAGAAGACGAGCAAAGAGAAAGATCAAGACAGGAAAGGGTACGGGTCCGAGAGTCCAAATGCGTGGGCTCACCAGAATTCAGAAGAAACAGGGAAGAAGAGAGGATAAATGACTCAAGATGGCGACCTCGGGTGTTCGTCAGAACATCACCCCAAAGGGAATGACAATTGAAATCACCCAGCAGGAGCACAAGCTCCGGCATGGAGTCCAGTAGGTATTTCAGATCAGAAAGAGAAAGCAGGACATTCAGAGGGAGATAAATGGAACAAACGGTGTACCATTTCCCCACAAAGATACGAGAAGCAGAAAAATGGAGAGGCGAAGGAAACAGTAAGGGGACAAAGAAAACATCAGAGCGAATCAAGAGAGCGGAAGAGTTGGGAGCCCCAACAACAGATTGGGGGGGGAGTGTGGAGAGAAAGGAATAGCCATGATAGCAACCAGGACGAGCACCAAGCATCGGCTCCTGGAGACAGACACAAAGGGGCAAAAACCTTAAAATCAGAAGTTGGAGTTCAAGGAAATTGGCATAATAACCCCGAACGTTCCATTGAAGAATAGACATCGACGAGAAGAGAAAGGACAACAACAGAAAACAAGTTAGAAACAAAGACGAAAGAGCAACATAGCACGTTAAAGAAGATCAGGGTCGGGATCAAGGTCAGCAAAGTCAGGGTTAGGGGGCAATGGGTACTCTGAGCAAAGTCAGAGGGAAGGAAGCGGGAGAACAGACCAGAGGTGGACGAGCGGGGTACGGAGGAGGAGGAGGCAACCGAGAGCAGCAGGCAAGGATAGCAGAAGGAAGAGGGGGAGCGCACCTCAGCAAGGGCAGCAACCGAGAGGGAAGCGGGGGGCCAAAGAAACCTCCATTGCAGGAACAGGGGGCGCAACTACCGAAATGGAAGGGGAAGGAGCGATAGAGTCAGAACTAGGGGCCGAGGAAGAAAGAGAAGCCTTCTTACCCGCCGGGGAGGAGGAGAGGAGCCAGGCTTACGCTTCTGACTTAAAGAGACAGGTGTCCCAGCAACTACGTACTGGGCAACGGATTCCAGCATCTCTACAGGAGAAGCTGAACGAGAGCACACACGACGGCCGTTAGGAGAATGATGAACATCAGCCCGCACTGACAGGCGGCGGGGAGAGCCGATAGATGGAGAAGGAGCATGGTAAGGAGGATCGGAGCGAGTCGAGGAAGAAGACACAAGAGACATGACAGACCGGGTAGAAAGAAGGGGAACCCCAGACAGAGGACCAGGAAGGGGACCCTTCGGGACAGAACTCAAAAGAACAGAGGAGGGGGCAGTGGGCGTATCAGGGTCCAAGGCCCGGAAACGGTTGTGAGTCTGAGGAAGGAGGAAAGGACGAGGAGAGGAAAAGCGCAACACGCAAGCATAAGGCGGGATCCGGCGAACCTGGCGCATCGCCTCAGGAAAAGATAAATGCTCCCAGTGCTTCAAGTTGAGGACTGCAGCCTCAAGCTTGTAATGGATACACGCACGGGAGAAGGTAGGATGGGCCTCACCGCAGTTGGGGAGAAGTGCACTCCGACTTAGAGTGACCATCGACCCCACACAAAGGACAGAGAGACAGACAGTCCCAGAGCAGCGGAGGACACCATGCTCAAACCTCCAGCACTTGTTACAGAGAATAGGAGAAGGAATGTGCTAATAGGAGAAAGAATGTACTCCTGGACAGAGCACCTGGCACCAGCAAGAATGACAGAGGGCGGAAGGGGCCTACCATCAAAAGTAATCTTCACAACCCGAAGGGGCTGACGGCGACGACCACGAGGGGGACGAGTAAATGTGTCTACCTGGAGGACAGAATGGCCCTGGGCCTCAAGGATATGCTGAATATCATCGTGGCAGTCCTGCAGATTCCGAACACTGGTTGCAACATGGGGCAGAAGAAGAATAGTGCCAACACTGGCATTCAACCGAGCGTTCGTGGAGACCTGAACAGGGGTCTCGCCAAGGCAGAATAAAGCAGCCAAGCAGGAGGCCGCATCCTGAGAAGGAGCAGCAACGACATGTGTAAGGAGACGGGTGGGTAGAAGGTGACAGAGGCATCTACGTAATCAACAAGGTGCCAATGAAGGGAGAAATCGTCAGGAGGTGCAGAATCAAGAGGGAGGAGATCAAAGTATTTGGCCCACGAAGCGGGACCAAACAAGGCTTGATAGGCATCAGAACGGGAAGGATGGTGCTGAGAACCACCAGAGAGAGAGAGGGGTTAAAAGGCGCAGTAGTCACAACTAGAGACTGAGCCGTGCCAGGGGACGAGGTGGTCACCACCAGAGGCTTTGGGCTCGATCCAACCACAGAGGAGGGAGGGCAGCCGAGGGGAGTAGTCAGGAGGGTCAAAGGAGGAGCAAGGTCGGGGCCCAATGCAGCGGTGGTCGGATGCTTGGTCGCCCACGCCACGAGCCTGAGAGGGTACAAGAGGAACATTCAGCAACGTAGACACGAAAAGAAACACTCACTCACGAATGTGCCCCCACACCCACCATGGAGCCACAATTAGAGGTAGGACACCCAACAAGAAGCTATCAGCGATCAAGCTGGGTTCCCTTAGGGGTGCGTCGTGAGTATACGCCCCACAAACGCCACCTTAAGAACGTCAGTCCTTCGAGATCGGGTTCATTGACGAAAGGGGGTTTGACAATAAAAGGTTCCCCTCGCTCTTGACGTCGGGTACTACAGTTCTACGGGTGCAAGAGTATGCCTTCTCAAGCACCCGGGCATCAAAATAGAAGAAGTCCAAAGAAATAACCAAAACAAGCAAAAGGTCGGCAGGAAACGACAAGCAGATAGGAGAAAAGGGGGGGGGGGAGGAAAACGAAACAGAAGGAAAAGGAAAAGTTGTTCAGCACAATTAGAGAGGACAGCAGCAGGAGCACAAGGCCACAAAAGGACAGAGGACTGTCCCAAGGAGCATCATACTCCGGCAGCCGCCCACTAAGCCCCCCCTTCACGACATCAACGAGCTGAACTGGGAGGGGGGGGGTGGCAAACTCATGAAGAGAATCCTAAGAGATGGAATTATACAACATCTCAGAGAACAATCTTGCAAAATCAACGAAACATGTGTTAGTGCAATACAGATCCTGCCTTAAAACCTGCTCGCATTTCTGTTAACGGTAACCGGCTATTCAGACAAAGGACTTCCCGTAGTCCTTACATAATCTTACATGGACTTTGCTAAAGCTTTTGACAAGTAACACGTGAGAGACTGGCAAGGAAACCACCGTCTCACCTTACTTGTTTTAACCATCTACCACTCGTTTCGTTATAGGGGAGAATGTGTAGTTTTGGGCGCCTGACAACAGGGTGAACAGCGCTTCGGATTCGTAGTCCTGAGGTTCAGGGTTCGATCCCTGGAGGTGGAGGAGACAAATGGGCAAAATGTTTCTTTCACCCTGATGGCCCTGTTACCGAGCAGTAAATAGGTACCTGGGAGTTAGACAGCTGCTACAGACTGCTTCCTGGGAAGGGGGGGGGTTATAACAAAAAGGAGGCCTGGTCGAGGACCGGGCCGCGGGAACGCTAAACCTCCGAAATAATTTCAAGATAACCAAGATGGGGGGGGGGGATGTGTCGCTTTGGAGACGATGTATAGTTATGGGGAAAGGATGTGTCGTAATCGGGGAGTATATCGTTATTTGGAGATGTGTCGTTATTGGGAGAGGCTGTGTTATGGTGGGGGAATGTGTTATGGGGAGGATGTGTCGTTATGGGGGAGACTGTCATTAGACATTAAATTGAATAATTATAGGGAAGGATGTGTTGTTATCAGGAAGGCTGTGTCATTATAGGAGGAAAATGTGTCATTCTGGTGTGGGATGTGTCGTTATGGGGATGTGTCGTTATGTGGAGGTAGTGTCGTTATGGGGGGAATGTGTGTTTATGGGGGTGGGTGATACTTGTCCTCCATGGCTTAGCTCTACAATTAGACAGTAAACGGCACCATTTATACATCATAATGAAATAAGTCAATGTTATTCATTTATATGATGCAAGAGATCTTTGGATATCAAGTAGAGAATAAATATTAAGAGATAAGAAGTAACCACCAAAAATGGTAATAATATTTCAGATTTGCACAAAATAATTGCTGTAATCGCTTACAACAAATCATTTCTGCACAAAGGACTCCTTCACAGTAAGGCTAACCTTATAATCAAACCAGAGTTTACTTACCACAATGTTTTCTTTGCCGTCAGAAGCCAAGGAGAAGCCAAGACCTTGATCATCCTGGATATCCTTATAGATCCAGGGCTTATATTTGCCTTGCTTCACCTCAAGCTGCTCACACCCAGCGATCTCAGGCTCCAGGCTGCAGGAGTAGAGCGCCCCCTGGCGTGGCTGGTCCTCGCTGGTGTTGGCTCGCGGGGCGCCCACCAGCAGCCTTCACCACAACAATATGTCTCGGATCAGGTGTCACTCTTCCTCTCATACATACACATCATTGCCCATACACTTCAGTAGGCAAAAGTTAGCATGAATGTGTGTTAATTTTGCTCAATGTCATTAATGAGTGTCATCTAGTGGTTTTATTATGAAGATCATGTGCGTTATGATGAGGGTGGTGCAAATTATAGAACAGATTATATATTGCAAGGATGTTTCTATTCAAGCCAAGGAAATACATACATTAAGAGAGTAAATGATTTGTCAACACACTGTCAGGATCAAAATATCCAGAGGCTTGAGTTCGATTTGATTATAACTTATTTTAGGATAAGTACGGACTGAAACCTATTTTGAAGTAGGTGGAGCTATAAATCAATAACCTGATTTAGGATAGGTGAGCTGGGAACCTGTAATTTATTTTAGAAAAAGTGGAGCTGGAAGCCTGTAACCTATATTAAAAAAGGTAGAAATAGACAGAGGAAACCTAATAAATTTTTGTATTACTACCAATCAACTCCAAATTTATTTTAGATACAGACAATTAACTTTGCCCTACTGTTCACAACCATAAGATCAAGGGGATGATTCCTGCTGCAGGACACAAACGTTTGGGCTCTTTTTTTCCCCTCACTAACTGATGTAAGTCCTACTAATTACCCAAAGCCTCCTAGCATTATTTAAGCAACGAATAAATATAAAATATTTACTCACTATAATGTTGGTGCTGAATGTAGAACATGATTTTACCCCTGAAATAATATAATTTAATAACGAAATTAGACGAAGCTAAGTGGGAGGTGACGCCATGGGGAGTTGACGAGCCGAGCGGCAATGTTGTGGAGCGACTTATCCAAGATATATTGTTGCCTGGAGAGTGTTTGCTGGCATATCAGCCTCCGGTACCTAACATATAACATACATAACAACACATAACATATGTTATACATATAACATATATATAAATAAATATATATATTTATATATTTGTATATATATAAATAAATAAAAGGTACAGGAGGCTGATATGCCAGCAAACACTCTGCAGGCAACAATATATCTTTGAGTAATTAGTAGGACCCATTGATGTCTCCATTTGAACATTTGGTGAACATTGACAGGTGAACATTTGGCAATGTTCACCTGCATCACCTAGCAGTACTGAGGACTCAGACAACTGTTGGGTTGTATCCTGGGGAAGGTCAGTAGTTGGCCTAGGTGAACCTTAATGAGCTTAAACAGACACCCCAACCACAGGTTACCAACTGTACTCGGCAGGCTCCTCGCACCCAATACTTGCCGCTCTATATTTAATTAATCCCCATAAAGTTGATTCTAACAGTAATAATAATGCAGTAAAAATGTATGAAGAAAACGATATAAATAATTGTTTGCTTGTCATTTACAAGTATTATTAATATATGTTTCACTCTGACCGCTGATCGAGAGGTCAACAGCATAGCCGGAACGTAAGTATGGGACGAAAAGGGGTCCCACGTAGTACGGTCCTCTCATCACCATTGCATTTTATAATAATAATAATAATAATAATAATAATAATAATAATAATAATAACAAATCCACTGGAGTCTTAATTTGAGTTCGAACCTATGCAATGAGCAATCTATGAAATGCGCAACCTATGCAATGCTTTCATTCAAAACTATCAATGTGCTTTATTGTGCCTATTTATTTATTTATATACAAGAAGGTACATCGGGGGTTAAATCTAAAGTCGTTATATTCCTATGTAAGAAGTAAAACCAATAATAAGACTGGGTAGGACCTCTAAAAGATGAGAGAGACTCACCAAGAAATAATGGAAAACAAAAGGGCAGCTAACACACTAAATGAATATTTTACATCAATGTTCACATTAGAAAGGTTAGATGACATCGCATAACGCACATAAATATTTCAAGAAAGTGAAGAGGATCAATTTAGGAGTGTAACCATAACGTGCGACATATTTAGGAAGAGCATTGACACTAAAAGATTCGAAAGCTCCAGGTGTTGATGGAATATAGATCAAAGTTATTAAGGAATTGGCAGAGGAGCAATGCCTTCAACTGAAATTACTTTTCGCAAAATCTCTGGACCAAGGGATAGTCCCCCTAGCCTGGAAATTTACGCATTGTCCCCTAGCCTGGAAATATGAAAATGTTACCCCTATTTTAAATAAAGGCAGAAAGAGTTCAGCGGAGAACTACCTTCCAATCAGATTGACATCACACATCTATAAGCTCACGGGCAGAAACCTAAGGGAGGGGGAATCTTTCTCCATCTTTCAGTGAACAATCTTGTAAAATCAACACAACTTTGGTTAGTTAAAAATCGATCCTGCCTTTCAAATCTGTTCACATTTTTGGAAACGGTAACCAGCTACTCAGACAAAGGACTTCCGGTTGGCGTAGTATACATGGATTTTGTATAAAGCCTTTGACAAGGTTCCACATGAAAGACCGGCAAGAAAATTATAGGCACGTGGAATAAATGGAAAAATTCTAGAATGTATAACACAATGGTTAAAACAAAGAGTGATGCTAAATAGGAATGAATCTGACTGGAGAAAAATGGTAAGTGGGGTACCACAGGGGTCCATTTTGGGCCCAATCCTTATTGTCATTCACATCAATGACAGATGAGATTATTACAAACCACATCATCAAATGTGCAGATGACACAAAGATTTATGTCAAAGTGAGAAATGATATTGATGTTGTAGACTTACAAAGAGATTTGCACGAATTCCACAAATGGTCAGATGACTGACAAATGCTTTTTAATATGACAAATGCAAGACTCTGCATGTGGGGTACAACAACCCGCGCCACAACTACCAAATTAATACATTACAACAAATTGATGAAGAAAAGGACCTTCGAGTCAAAATCTACAACTCAATGATAGGTGCACAGCAGGTTGGGGCAGCAGTTAAAAAAAGCTAACCAAACACTTGGAATAATCAAGCCTATCTTCGTTTTCAAGCAAAATAAGGTAGTTATTTAATTGTATAAATCTCTGGTGCTCCCCCATTTGGATTACTGTATCCAAGCACGGAGACCTCATCTTCAGAAGGATGTAGCTGCTCTGGAGAAGGTGCAACACCGGGCAACAAAAATCATTCCAGAGGCAATTCAACTCATGTATCAGGAACGGTTGAGGGCCACAGGGTTAACACCACTACAAACCCGGCATGACAGGGTGGATCTTAATGAAACATTTAAAATACTGAACAAATTGGAGGAGGTCGATTCGAAAAATTTCTTCAAAAAGGGCAGATGTAACACAAACAAGGAATAACGGTTTCAACCTCAACAAGCCACAATGTAGGACTAAGAACAGGAGATGCTTTTTCACCCACAGGGTTATTAACCCAAGAAACCGCCTGCCCTCTGAAGCCGTTAATGCCAAAACTCTGTTGGGATTTAAAGTACAGTTGGAAAAGATCATCATGGCAAATGGGAGAACCTTCGACAAGCCGCCGGCTTCCTGTCCTCGTTGAGGCCATAAGTGTTAGTGGCTCTAAGGTGAACTCAGGTAAACTCTTGTCTATGTATGGGACAAGGAACTTTTTTTTTCCCCTTTTATTGCTAATGTTAACATTGTCTACCTGAAGTTAAATTTGATTTGATGATTTACTACCATATCAAATGTAGAAGGTCTTTCCTATGTTTAGTTTAAGTTTGTTGGTTGACATTCACGAGCGGACGTTTTTTTAATTCACTGTTGACAATATTACTTAGTGTGTGGGGATTGGGATCAGAATAGGCAAAGGTAGTATCGTCTGCAAATAGTATAAGTTTAAGAATTTTAGAAACATTTGGCAAATCTTTGATGTATATAAGAAATAGGAGAGGTCCCAAGATGTTGACCTGTGGCCCCGCTACTGCCAATGGTAGAGTGAGGAGGTTATGTTATTGATGACTACATATTGGTGTTTGTCACTGATATAAGAACGAGTATAGTTCAGAGCAAGGGCTAGAGTACCATAGTGATGAAGTTTAAGTAAGAGGTAGTTATGGTTTACATTACCAAAGGCCTTTCTCAAGGACAATGAAGAGGCCAATTGGGAACTCAATTTTGTCAAGGGCTGTATATATTTTATTAAGCAGCCTAATAAAGGCATCATTGATACTGTGAGGGGTAAGGGTTTCCACCAGCTAAATCTTCTACTAATGTGAGGTGAACGTGTGCTGCCGTGCACCAGGCACGTAAATGGCCGTGCACTCGGTCTAGATTTGGTAACCCGTACACGAGACATCGTGTTTAGGCTCGTTGGAGAGCCTAAGTCATCAGCATTCCAAATATGTTACAATGGCCGTTGTAGCGTATTTGTGGAAATAGAGCGTGTAGCAGTTTTACTGCAGGGTCATTCCATCTCAAATCACCAAAAAGTCACCTATGGATCCCACTCGACCCTCTCCAAATGCCATGAAATTTTGTAGCAAGATAATCCTAGACCCCAAATGACACTTTGCAAAATATTAGAGCTCAATCTGCTTTGGTTCTTAAAAACCAGGTCCATATTGAATGGGTTCTCGTCCCGTTAATGCGTAAATACCACAAAAATTACCATCTTTGACCCTTTGTTAAATCACGACTAGTGCCCAGAGAGGTGTGAAATATGGCATACCACAGCAACTTTTGGTGCGGAATACAGCAGTGTAATAAAAAAAGTTTGGGTAGCCATTCAGCTGCCAATCCATGCTAATATCATTGCCAATATATCTCAAAATATCTCAATATGCGTCATTCCCAATTTGGTTTTGAAAGACACCATTGGATAGAGCAGATTTTTCTGTACAAGAGTAACTTTTATTTAGGTTGGGATGTGAATTCCTAGTTCAGCCAGAGGACACTGAAAATGACATACCTTGGTGCGATATCGAAAAAATCGAATTATGATTTTCCATCTTCTTTGTGCACAGATCATGACTGCTAGCAAATTGATATACAAACTGATTGAAATTTGTTTAAGCTTCATTGGGTAGAATA